GGAGACAGAGGAACTCCTGCCACTACCACCACCGCAGACGCCTCCACCTCCACCGCTCCTGTAAGAGGTACTAGATGTTCTCTTGATGCTGCAGCTCATGGTGGAAGTAATCAGATATCCAGCCCCAAATGCAAAGCCTGGTGCACAGCTTGATGCGGAAAATCAGACTGCAGTCTTCTCTCCTCAGTGATGGCTATTTATACCTTGTTGGGTGGGTGTCACCTGTAAGGCAGTCCAGCTTCCCATGAAGTTTGCCAGCCTTAGTGCTCATGCCAAAAGTGATGTGCTAAGGAAATTTTGTCTGAGGTAAGTAAATCGCATTACCATTCTGTTCAAGTATGTCTGTGTTGATTCACCCAAAGCATGCACTATAATTTTATGTGGGTGGCTCTTTGTTGGATATTTTGTTGGATAATACAGTATCTCATAGCTTCTATTAATCTGGCAATATATCACTAGTAATAGGAGTTAATGAAGGCTCCACCTTGGTTGTCTGTCTCCTTCAGTCTTCTGTGTGGCGAAATTCAGTATTTCAGCTTTCATCTTCCTCCTGTGATCACAGACAATGATTCGTAAGACCAGCAGCCTCCAAGTGACTCTTCATTCATTAATTTATTCAAAATTTATATTAGCTATTTAGAAATCTACTTTAATTTACTGAAATAAATTATTATCTTTTAAAACTGCATTCCCATGTCTGTTATACAGAGAACTTTACAATGAATTTTTTACTCTCTTGTCACTACTTATATGGGGGAAGGTCATTCTGGTATTTAACTTTTTCTGAAACTGCAGGATGGTGATTGCAGTCTTTTTTCTTGTTGAAGAAAACTGGGTGACAGCCACAAAAGTAGTATTTTGCAAAGGAAAACATATTCAATCTTTTCCTATCAAACAGCTATTAATTTTATTTTAGCTGTTTGAAATGGACTCAGAGGAAATTGAGGGGAGAAATGTTTGATATTTCATATTTTGATAATCATATTAAAAATAGCCATTTCTCAGAACATGTCCTTGAATTATATAATGCTGTAAAAAATAAGTTTGATGAAAAGTTACAGTGCCAAAGATTAGACCTGAAAAAATACAGTCATCATCTGAAGCTGTTACAGTGAATTGTGTTTGCCAACCATGAGAGAGCATCTTGCAACACAAAACAGAGTAAGAAACAATTGTGTATTTTTTTCCACTGCCTATGCAATATGGGATGTTCAGTGAGTTGCTTTTTCCATCTTTACTAATCAAGCTTCTATGAAACTGAGAAAAGCCTTGAACAGAAACAAATTCTCGGGTTTCCAGCTGTTTATTATATATTGGCACTATAACTCCTGCCGAAGAGTCATTTGGCTAGTACAAAGGAAGCACAAGGAGCTGGTGGAACCTGCTATGAATTACCACCTCAAAATCAGTTTATCCACAGTGAGGGAGGATGAATTCAACCCAGAAGTATTTTAGGAAGAGATTCCATATTACAGAAGAACTCCTTAAACTCCTTAAAATTAGCAAAAGGAGAGTAAGAAGGGATTGAGTCACATTAAACATGAAGGTACGCGTCAGAGGAGGGGGTAGGATTGTTTGAATTTGAAGACATTGTGCCTGTATGTGCCTATGGTGGGTTGACCCTGGCTGGACACCAGGTTCCCACCCAGCCACTCTGTCACTGCCCCCCTCCGCTGGGGAGGGGAGAGGAAATAGAACGAAAGGCTCATGTGTCGAGATAAAGACAGGGAGATCATTCACCAATTACCGTCACGGGCAAAATAGACTCAACTTGGGGAAATCAGTTTAATTTGTTACCAATCAAATCAGGGTAGGATAAGGAGAAATCAAGCCAAATCTTAAAATCACCTTCCCCCCACCCCTCCCTTCTTCCAGGGCTCAACTTTATTCCTGAATTCTCTACCTCCTTTGCCCCAGTGGCACAGGGGTACAGGGAATGGGGGTTGCAGTCAGTTTGTCACACATTGTCTGTGCCGCTCCTTCCTCCTCAGGGGCAGGACTCCTCACACTCTTCCCCTGCTCCAGCGTGGGTCCCTCCCACGGGAGACAGTCCTTCACAAACTTCTCCAATGTGAGTCCTTCCCGTGGGCTGCAGTTCTTCACGAACTGCTCCAGCGTGGGTCCCTTCCATGGGCTGCAGTCCTTCAGGCACAGACTGCTCCAGGGTAGGTCCCCGATGGGGTCACAAGTCCTGCCAGCAAACCTGCTCCAGTGTGTACTCCTCTCTCCATGGGTCCACAGGTCCTGCCAGGAGACTGCTCCAGCATGGGCTTCCCACGGGGTCACAGCCTCCTTTGGGTATCCAGCTGCTCCATCGTGGGGTCCTCCACAGGCTGCAGGTGGATATCTGCTCCACCATGGACCTCCATGGGCTGGGGGGACAGCCTGCCTCACCATGGTCTTCCCCATGGCCTGCAGGGGAATCTCTGCTCTGGCGCCTGGAGCACGCGGCGCCCCCCCCC